AGCGCGGCTGCAGCGGGCGGCATGGCGAGCACCGCCTTGGAGATCATCGCGTTCACCGTGTCTATCTCGGGCTGGTTGCTGGTGTCTTCCACGGTGCCCACCGACTACTGGAAGGTATCCACCAACGACGGCACGGTCATCACCACCGCCACCTTTTGGGCCAACCTGTGGAAGACATGCGTTACCGACTCCACAGGGGTCTCCAACTGCAAGGACTTCCCCTCCATGCTGGCGCTGGACGGTCTGCATCCCGGGCCCCTGCCCCCGACCCTCCCTCCTGTCAGGCCAGCGGACGGGGCGCCCGCTCGGCTTCGCGACCCCCGCTGGGACCTGGGGGGTGGGGCGGGCAGACTCCTCTGAGATCGGTCCCTCTATTCCCCTGGGGCCCCAGGGAGCTGGGGCGAGTCCCCCGTTCCGTCCTTCTCCGTCCCTGGACGTTGGTCCTGCATGGGCTCCTATGGGAGCCCGGGAGCCCGTGTTAGGGGTGGGGGTTGGGAGGGGGACACGCAGACAGGCCTAAATGGGGCGGGTGACTTTCGGGGGTCGCGGGTGGAGGGGAGTAGTTTTGCTGTCCTGAGAGTAAAGGACACGGTTGTGGGACCCCCATCTCTTGCGGACGGGACGGTTAGGACACGGAGTCACGCAGAGGGGGCTTGTCTTCTGCGTCGCTCCCCAGAGGAGCTGGATTCTAAGGGTGTCATGGACTCGTCCAAGCGAAATGGGCTTGCCTTGAACTCCCTTAGCTGTTTCGTGAATTCTTTTAAAAGTGGGCAGGAGAAAAGGAATCATTTTATAGGAGGCGTCCCCGCCCCCCGCCCTCCCCAAAAAGCCCGGGCTTTAACGGTTCCTCCAAATGTTAGGAAAATAAATAGCCCTTGAGCCTCAGGGGGTAGAGTCCTGGCCGCTCAGAATCTCGTGCGTGCGGGGGACTGACAGGTTCTGGGAGACTGACAGGTTCTGAGCCAGTGCCTCTCCGGGCCTCCCTCGTGGTGTCCTTCTCTAAATTGCTTTCTACATTGTTTTTTGTTAATTAGGCTTTATATCGCATTGCATTGTAGCAACGGGTAGATCGATGTTCAGGTAGAAAACTGGCTCTGTTTTAGTTTCAAGAGAACCGTCGATATGAACGTGGTCAGATGCGTGCTCACGCTCTAGGCCAGTGTTCCTCAACCTTGGCTGCACATCAGAATCACCTGGGGATCTTTTTAAAATATGAGGCCCAGAAATCAGGATTTTCAAAAGATCCCCAGGTGATTCTAATGTGCAGCCAAGGTTGAGAACCACTGCTCTAGGCTCTTCCTCCAGGATTTGACAGCGCAGGACTGGATGGATCCCCGCAGAAACTTAAGGAGAGTCACTTATTTCTAGATTTGACGTGTTTTCTTTTTCTTTTATTACTGCCCTGCAAGTTTTTATTTGCATAGCTGAGTAAATAAAAGACAAGATTTAATTCCCCTGAGATGGTGCTTGCCACGGAAAGCAAATGTTTGCTGCTCAATGGTGGTATTTGATGGAACCTGCCTATAAGGGCCGACGTGTCTAGTTGTAGATGGGTGACACCCTGCTGTGTCAAATCAGTAGCTGGCACACTGTGGATCCCCTAGAATTGCCCTTGAATTTTCTGTGCTCTGCAGAGCACACATCCAGGTAGATGCTTTGAACAGACAGCCTCTTGTTTCTTTGTTTCTGTGGCTTACATTCAGGAATACGGGCTTAACAGTTACGGTTTTAAGCGCATTCTTCTGTTGTAACTGTATTGTTGTTACCTGAGATAGAGTGCCAGATAGGTATGGCTCCTTCTGTAGGACAGTTGGGGGACAAGAGAGAAGAGAGACAAACAAGAGCTCGCTGGATATTATTACGTGCAGAATAATACGTCTGAGGTGAAAGTGGGCATGGTATCAAGATTTGGAGGCAGAAGGAAGGAGGGATAGCCCTCAATTATTAAGCTCTAGAATGGAGCAAATGGAAAGGAGTGACATTTATATACAACCCAGTTTGCAAAATAGCCTTCCATGTGTCTAGAAAAGGACTTTTAAAAACATAAATAACACCACCCTACGCACTATTCTGCAGCATTCTAAAATTAATAACTTATCTTTCCCAGTCCATACATATAGAAGTAATGATTGCGTAGTATTCATTCGTCTGGACAAACTGGTTTATTTAACCATTTGCCCGTTGTAGGACATTGGACCCTTTCCAGCCTTTCATTCTTGTTAGTGCTTCACTGAAAATTGTTATGTTTGTCTCTTTGTCTGTATGTGTGTTGTTCTAGAGTACATACTGAGAAATTGTATTGTCAGGGCAGTGGAATATTCATTTTAATATTCAATTTATACTGCCAAATTACATTCTACCAACAGTGTGTGAGACTACCTATTTCTCTACATTTTCACCACTAAGTTTTTCATCCAATATTATAGGTGACATTATCATGTTATCATTTAACTTGGCATTTCCCTGATCTGATTAGCACTGATTTTGAACATCTTATCATATATTGATCTCCCCCTCCCCCGCCTCTTTTGTGAATTGTTTGTTCATGTCTTATACCCGTGGTTCTGTAGTTTCCTCTTGGTTAGAATGATTTGTTTTCTTAAATTTGGATGTCAATCTTTGATTTGTCATAAATGTTGCACTCTCAGCCTATTGCTTGTCTTTTAAACTTAAGAGGACTTTGAAATGTGTGCTATAATCAGATTAATCGGACTCTTCCTGCTGGCTCTGCCTTTTGTGGCTTAGGGAGGCATTGCCTACTCCAAAGCGACAGATTTACTTTTCTGTATCTCCCAGAATAACACATGGGGATTCAGTGACACTGCGACAGTTTCATAGAGAAAGGAGTTGATTCCCCCATTTACCAGTAGAATTTTTCAAAGCGGCCCCCTTAATTGTCTCCACCAAGTGGCTATTTTCATTCTTGCTAGTTTGAAATGGAAAATAAGGTACACATCATTTGGAAAACACTTAACTTTTTTCCTTAATCCTCACCTGAGGATATGTGTTTATTTTAAATTGATTTGAGAGAGAGAGAGAGGGAGAGAGAAAAAACCATCAATGTGGGAGAGAACATCAATCTCTGGCGTGTGTTCCCAGGGCAGCCGTATCTGTTGGATGCTGGTCCTGAGGCAGTTCCTGCTGACAGCATGCTGCACATGAACTTCCTAACATTGCCTTTGCAGTGACGGGAGAAAGTTATGTTACCATGCGCTATGGGGGCCACAGGCCTGACCAGGCACGAGGTCTGGATTGAGAAGAAAAGCCAAGAAAGGAGAGAGAAAGCTCATGGTTCTCTCTTCTAGTCTTAGGTGGAAGAACAAACCTCTTGGAAGCAGATGATGGAGTCATTATTCTGAATTTCCTATGTGAGGTCAAAGCTCTGATTCCTCATGATCAGGTGGTATCATATCACCCCGTTTTCTCTGTAAGGAAAATGAAGCTGAGAAAAAGCTAAATGTCTCGAGTTAGTGTTATGCCATGTTAAGAGCCCAACCCTAATTTCTGCTTAGACTCAATATTAGTTTTATGGAAGGGAAGCTTCCATGAGTTTCTTACCCCCTCACCAGACACTGTTCATTTTATTCATCCTGTGAAGTAAAAGCTCTTGTCCTATTTTACAGATGAGAAAACAGAGGCTGAGATTAGCTAACACAATCAAGGGCACACAGTGGGTAAATAGAAGAACAAAGCTAAAATTCAAAGTTCATGCCTTCTCCCCATACCTATCTTCTTTCAAAGTATTTGCAAAAAATGCACAAAGCTACTAGCATAAGAAAAGCTCATTTTTTTTTCTTCTCACTAGGAAATTGTCTCCACCAAGTGGCTATTTTCATTTTTGCTAGTTTGCAATGGAAAATAAGGTACACATCATTTGGAAAACACTTAACTTTTTTTCTTAATCCTCACCTGAGGATATGCATTTATTTTAAATTGACTTGAGAGAGAGAGAAAGAGGAAGGGAGGAGAGGAGAGAGAGAGAGAGAAAAACATCAATTGGTTGAGAGAGAGAGAGAGAGAGAGAGAGAGATCAATCGGTTACCTACAGTACTCCTCCTGGCTGGGAATTGAACCTCCAACCTTTTGGTGTACAGGCGAATGCTCCAACCCACTGAGCCACCTGGCCAGGGTGAAACACAACTTTTAAGGGACACCTTGAAGGTTTCCTTTAACAGAATTCATTAAGGCCACTACATTTTACTAATTAAACATTTCACAGTTGACTAAGCTAGTGATTTCTATTTATTGCTAACCCATGTTCCTTTCAAAACACCACTTGAACTTTAGCTGAGAATAATTTTCAGCCAGGTTGTTTTTTTAGTATATGCCATCTATTTTTGTTAGTGGGAATGTTTGCCATTTTGTACAAGAGAATTAACTATAAATTATACTTCAGAGAACTTCTAAGTAAATATGTTCATGCTTCAGCACCTTAATGTGTTAATTAGCTATTAACGGTGTCAGTAAATTAGACCTGTCAAAAATAATGGCCTCCTTGACTAGTTTTTACCACCACTTCGCTTGATGGTTTTACTTATAAGTTTTGCCCCGAGGAACTGTTTGAAAGTAAGGTTGTAGAGGTCTGCCTTGCAAAAGATAAACTCTGAGTTGGTTGGCAGTCACCTCAGGCCTGAGTCTGTGGGTGTTTTAAGGACTGGTAGCCCCTAATTCACAAAGCTCAGGTTTACCAACAACTGGATTGCATTTATAGCTGGCAGGGGAGCTATCCCTGGGAACCCCAATCCCTCCTCTTTGCTCCCCGTTTTAGAAATCTAGCCAATGATTGTGCTGGTGAAGTGCCATTTTGGTGCATGAGACAAATTAGCAATTTATTTATTGGTACTGTTTTCCATCCAGAGAGAGGTGCCTTGCCCTCAAATCAGGGTTTTGAGGGGTACCGAGTAAGGACCTGACCGCATCAGAACCTTGCTTTCCCATCTCTACTCCCAAACATGTGCCAAGGGCTGAGATGGGAGAACTGAGTGAGGAACTCAGAACAAAAGGGTATGCGTAGTGGTTAAATAAAGTTTAAAGGCTGCTATTATTTTCCCAGTCCTATTGAGAACTGAATTCATCAGCATGGGATTCTAACCACTGTTTACCATCTGGGAAAACGTATTTAGTGGTCTAAAGGGTCGGACTGTAGGACTTAAACTTTTGCCAGGCTCCTGCATTTTCTATTCATAAAGCCTGTAAGGTTACTAAAGTAAATGCAAATTAAGGTTCGTGGTAAAGTTTTGTAGGATATTTCTTTTTTTACACATATATTGTTGAGGTTACATCATACACACGCTGTTTTGTCCGTTGAGTGATTTCAGTCAAGAGTCAGCTAAAACACCTCAAAACCATAGATTAAAATAAAGCTATGAAGAACCCACACACTGTCCCAGTAGCTCTGGGGATAAGTGATGAGGCAGTTGTGGTTCTGGTAGACTCTCCTTAACCTTGCAAGGAACTAACAGGCTTCTTCTCTCTATCTGGGTTTCTACCTGCTCCCTGGGTTCTGGTAGAGGGACTTGAGGATTGAAGTTTAAAATAGAGCTGGGTCAGTATTGGGCAGCAGTCCCCCCAGAGAGCCCTGCAGTGTGATCATTGCTACCAAAACCAGCCTCCATTATCTCGTTTTGCTAAAAATGTTCCTGCTGCTGTTTTTGATGGTCTCACCATCAGCGAAATGATTTTGTTTAGGAGTAGTTCATGCTACAAAATAGAAGATGATTGTCATTGCCGTCTGAATTTATGGGGGCCTAAATTTGTTCAATTAAATAGAACATCTTCTGTGAACTCTTTAAAATAGATCATAGGAATAGGATTAAAACTTAAAATTTTATTCTTTCCCAAAGAAACATGGAGACTGAAGGCTACCTGCCAGCATTATTTTCTGAGTTTATAATTATCATAGTCTTAGAAATCTTATTCATTATAGCTTTTGTCTGAGGACACACAATAAGTAACTTTCAGTCTCTTGGCATTAACAAGGTTTTACAGATTGACAAGTTTAATTCCAAATGTAAACCTGAAGTACATGTATGTTCATTTGCTTAACAAATATATACTTACACCTAGTATGGGCCATCACTGTTTCAGATTGAAATGTGGCATTTTTTTCAGGCTGAAATGAAAATGTCCATATGTGGACAAAGTTATTAGTTTAAATCCTGTTAATTTAACATTTCTTAATGTCTGGATGAAAGCCAGGCTGAATTTATCATAACCATGGCTGTGAAACCCTCCCCAGGCTTCCCACTGAAGTTTGACAGTCTTAATTTAACATTTCTTAATGTCTGGAGAAAGCCAGGCTGAATTTATCATAACCATGGCTGTGCAAATAAAAATATGTGACTAAGGAAATACATGTTGTAGGAAGAATGATCCAACAAACAAACAGAACAAGCTTTTAGGGTTGCTTTGAAAGCATCCACTTATATGTAATCAGTTAATTTAATAATTATAAGCTATTCTTGCTGTAAATAGCCAATGCTTTTTTAAACCACATTTTATCATATGTGCCCTGGAAATAATACAAAGCCATTATAATAATTCTTAATTTAGACTTCTCATGGCTCATGATTATATTTTAGTTGCTCTCATTTATAAGCTTTCACTAATATTGGAAGATTTCACCCTTTGGGAGGTCTTGCTGCCCAATGATAAATTTTATAATGTCTGAACCATTAAAACATCTGTTTAAAAGTTCTAATGTACAAAGGAGTAAGAGGCTCGAGATCGTGGCAGGTGATGTATTGCACAGTGAAAAGCAGCATCACCTGGATTGTATAGTCATATCGGTATGGAATCCATTCCTGCCTCTTACTAACTCATCTCTGTCATATCATAGACACTTTGCTTGCCTCGATTTCCTCACATGTGAATAATAGCACCCAGCGAGCTAATCTGAAGATTATGCATAAACTGAACTTAAAAGTGTGTGACATACAACAGGCACTCCATGTAGGCTAACTTGTTTTCCCTTCTTGCTTGTCTTACCCCGTGTTTTAACAATTACGGTTATTTATTTACTTTTGTTTTTTTTTGGAAAACAGAACAATCGTTCAGGAGGACAATGTAGAACGAGGATTTCTCCCTGGACAGCCACCTGTTTTATGTTAACATGTAAATGACCTACTCTAATTGCAGGTTATATCCAGGCATGTAGAGGACTTATGATTGCCGCTGTCAGCCTGGGCTTTTTTGGTTCCATAATTGCCCTGTTTGGAATGAAGTGTACCAAAGTCGGAGGCTCAGAGAAAGCCAAAGCTAAAATTGCTTGTTTGGCTGGGGTTGTGTTCATACTGTCAGGTAAATAGTAACTTTCTCCCAAACAAGGTACTTTCGCCGTGTTAATGAAGTAGCACTCACTAACCACGGTCCTTTCCCTCTGATGCATTTTAGGGCTATGCTCAATGACCGGTTGTTCCCTGTATGCAAACAAAATCACAACGGAATTCTTTGATCCTCTCTTTATTGATCAAAAGTAAGTACTCACCTCAGTCTGTATATTTCTAGTTCACAGGAAATGTACATAAAATCATATTCTAAATTAAGGTATGGAAACTTTCTCCATGGCTTATGAAAAGAAAATAAGATATAAGGGGTAGATGGTATTTGATGACATCATTCAAGAGTAAACATTTTAGGTGCTACGTTGGCAAATGATGCATTTAATTACTACATGAGTGTTACATGTTGTCTTGTTTCTAAATAGCTTAAGGTGTCGGATTTAGAAATCTAAACTTCATCTACCGGATATCATAAAATTGAAGCTAAATGGAGGGAAAGTGGAATAGAAGTGTAAGATGGGGAGGAAAGAATGATGAAGTATGAGAACAGAAAATTGAAAGCTTGCCTCGGTTTTGTCCATCCAGAACAGTATTTGCCAGATGCTAAGCTCTAGGCCAGTTTACATCTGAAACATTGTGATTAAAACAAAGGAAACTGTGCTTCTGAAGATTAGAAACATTCTAATATTTAAATGAAATATTATTTTTCATTTTTAATTAGCCTTTTAAATTGCTCTGTTAACTATGGCCTTAACATGCTCCACCTAATAAACCTTTATATGTAAAAAATCATTGTATATGATGCAAGCATTTTTTTAAATGCTCTGGGAGTGGCACAGACACTCAGATGTGACTGGTCTCAGTTGCAGGTGAACGCTTTGGCATTTACAGGTCAGTTTGCTTGTTGTTGTTTTAACTATGGGCTGTTGCTTTTTATAGTTTCCTTGGGCTTATTTCTTTGCATTGGGGAAACCCCATGGGCACCAAATTAGAAATAATAACATATCAGATGTTTTGTCTTTCATGAGAGTATACCCACATAACTCTGTGGAGAGCCATGTGGGTATGCTGTCCACCAGGTTGGTGATTCTCTTTCAGTCTTTAGATAAAATGTTAGAGAAATTTTTAAAAAAGTAATCACTAAAATGGCTGGTCAGGTCTACATTACTTTTTTCCAGTGGATTTAGAAATCTTCAGAAAAATTGATTTTCTAGTTCTATAGTATAGTTTATGCATAAATAGTAAGTGCTTATATAATGAAATGCTTATATAATGAAATGCTTATATAATGACATGTAATGAAAATAACAGCTAACACATTGAGTCCCTTCCATGTAGCCGGCAGAGCACTGCAGAGATTCTTTATTTTATTCTTACAACAGCTTTATGAAGTAGGTTCTCTTGGTACTCCCTTTTTTAAAATTGAGGAAAGAGTTCAAGTAATGTGTCCACTGGAACTTGGACTAAACTAGAAGGCTGATAGAACTATGGCTCAAACCAGGTGGCCAAACTCTGGAATGCTCGCTGTAAAATGCATGATTTATAATATTGGGCTACTTTATCATTTTTTGTTACAGTATGCTACAGATATTTTTCATTAAGAGAGTTTCTCTTGTACATTTAAAATGGTTTTTATTCTGAAATTTTATTAAATGGGGAACAAAAATAACTGCCTTAGTGTAATTTTTATTCTTCTGCCTATGTTAGAAAAATGTATTCAGTTATAAATTTTCGATAATGATATTTGCATAGATGTACATGACATCAAACATTGAGCATTGAGATGAAAACTGAGATGACTCCTGAAGATTGGAAACATTTTAATGATATTTAAATGAAATGCTATTTTTCATTTCAATGATACATTTTTATTTCTGGGTTAGTATCATAAATATAGAGCAAAACTGTATTTCTCTTGGTTTATTGTATTAAGGACATTGCTGACTTTTCTGGATTATCTTTTCTACAACACTGTTTTAATTCCCTGACAATTATCAAGGATGTCAGAAACTTAAAAATAGTTTTAACCTTTCCTCAAAGGTCATGGCTAATTCATGTATGCACTGTAACGTACACGTATTCTTTGTGTGGTTTTAGTCTGTGCTGCTCTATGCTCAGTCACCTTTTTCAGTTTAGTACAATAGAATTTCTTATTCTCCTTTCAGATTTTAGTGAAACTCAGTTCACTAATTATGGACTCTGGAAGGTTTCCCTCTTTTCCACATTCTTGGTGCTACATTGAACTATCCTGTTCCCACTCAGCCTCCCAGCATTTCTCTTTCCATCTATGCCTACTCACGCTCTCTGTGTCTGCATTCTCATCTGCAAAATTAGGCTAATGCTAGTACCCCTCATGTAGAGTTGCTGTGAGAGTTAAGAGAGGTTGCTTATAGGGTGTCCCAAAAAATGTATTCTCACACTTTGAATAATTATACAGGCAGTGTTTATTAAAGTACATTTCATTTTCAAAATTGAGCTGTCAGCTGTTAAACTGTGTATGCATTTTTTGGGATGCCCTGTATATATGCTCAGAACTGATTAGAAATGAGCAAACCCCTGTGTTAGCTATTACTGTATTGTATTGGCTATTATTATTAACACATTGCGGACCAGTAGTTTTATTACTAGCTTTACCCAGTGGCCAGATAAGTTTCTATTGAACAAGTACAAAAAACGTTTTTCATAAATGTTAAAGACACGGTTTAAAATTAAATACCTATTGCATTTTGAAGTTATTTATTACGTGTTCATACAAGCTAATATCTTTTTAAAGAATTCTCATGATTGGCCATAAGCCTTAGAACAGAAAACACAAGAATTCTCATGATCCGTCCACAACGTGTTAAGACTAGAGGCCCGGTGCATGACATTCATGCACTGGGGTGTGTGGGGGGGCGTGTCCTTCAGCCTGGCCTGTGCTCTCTCACAGTCCAGGACCGCTTGGGGGATGTCCGACTGCCAGCTTAGGAGAGCAGGCCTACGCCAGCAGTTAGACATCCCCCGGGGGATCCTTAGCGCTGCCACGGAGGCAGGAGAGGCTCCCACCACCGCTGCTGCACTCACCAGCTGTGAGCCCAGCTTCTGACCACCAGGGGGGCAGCTCCTGCATTGAGTATCTGCCCCCTGGTGGTCAGTTGTTCCGCTGTTCGGTAGATTTGCATATTAGGGTTTTATTATATAGGATTGCTTTTTGAAATGCATGTTGTATTTAAGATGTGGCTTATCTTTATAGATGTCTTTATTAAGCTCTTCTGTGGTGACTTAAAATATAGCACCTACAATTTGCCAATTTACCTTAATGTAATTAAAAACCACAAGAGCTAGGGATTATGTAAAACAACACGACTTACAGATTGGTAGTATTTATAAGTCACAGGCCCTCCATACCAAGGCCTTATAGAAAATATAGACTTTTTTTTTTTAATCCTGCTTATTGAGAACATATTAGCTCTTTGAGATAGGGACTATTTTTCTCACTCATCTTGCACAAAGAAAGGCCCTCTATAACTTACATAAAATCCCTCAGATCAAGGAGTTGTCAAGGCCTGAAAGTTGTAAATATGATCAGATTCTAACCACCTACAATGGTAGACTAGAGACATAAAAATGACATGTGACATCTAAAGAAATTCACAGACTTCCTTTAAAAAAAACAACTCATAAAAAAAAAAAACCTCATTTCTGTGCAAACCAACAAGTCGACTAACTTGACTTCATCTGTTTTCCCTTTACCAACACCTCTCATAGAGGAGATGAAAATTGAGAAGATCAATAAGCTACAAATTGTCTCTCAACATTAAGTAAATGGATTTCATGTGTTAAAATGTAATCTTTAAAGCAAGCTTTTCATTAGCTTATTGTAGGGGGATACACTTCCTTAGTTGGCATTTGCTAGAATGTAGTGATCTGTGCCTCTGATTTAGTTTGTACGTGAACTTAGAATATGTCAGGGAATCAAGGCCAAAGGAAGCCTCTGAGAGGATGGAATAGAGGGCACACGCAACTCTCCTCTTCCCATCCTTAGCACATATTACTCTTCCTAACGCCAGCTACCACCAATTAACATCTATCCTTTCAGGCCTAGAAGGCAGGTGAGTGTCTCTAGGTGCTTAGGAAGGATAGTGAGAGCTGCTCTGCGCATGTGCTAGTTTAACTTTCTAGTGAGCATATACTTGCTCTCCCATACCTAAACCCTAAAATGCACTGGAAAATGGTTCAGGCCTCAGAACCTAGTTTTGTTATTGGCTTGCTTCTGCTGCTATTGTTTTGTGTTTTTTTTTTAAGATTTCTGTATTGAATGAACTGAATCTTCTTTGTAGATTTCCAGCACATACTTATTATATAAGGCCCACCTTGGTTGCCTAAATTAGGAAAACACAGCTAAGGTCATCAAAAGGTTCCCACTACAATCCTACTATGTGCAAGGAACTCAGTAGGCACTTTGTTGAGAAAAAAAAAAGAGTGGCTTCTAGGGTATAGTTGGACTAAAGATCATGGCAGTAACATTGCAAACATTATCACACTTATGTTCTATGGTTATTTATTTCCGAAACCCTTCCCTTCCCACCACTTACCAGGAAGACTTTTCTTCCAGGCTGCAATCATTTGACAGGATTGCGATCTAAAGAGTTTCTTCTGATTCTGGTTGTGTTCTACCATTTCCCCATTCTCCTTTGATTTTGCTTCCTTGCTTTCATTCAAGTTACGATTATGTTTTGTGATTCCTGGGTGGGCTCCTGCACAGCCTTAAAAACTATTTCTCAGTTCTTCCCTTTGGGCTGTTTCAAACTAAATTTCTTCTTTTTATTATAACAAAACCTACATAATCCCTCAACTCCCCCCCC